ACAGAAATCAAAAAATGTAATCCATCACATCAATAGACTTAAAGATAAAAAACACATGATTGTCTTAATAGATGCAGCAAAAGCATTCAACAAAATACAGCATCCCTTCATGTTCAAAGCACTAGAAAAACTAGGGATAACAGGAACATATCTCAACAGTAAAAGCTATCTATGCTAAGACCAAAGGCCAACATCATTCTAAATGAAGAAAAATGGAAGGCATTCCCTCTAAAAACTGCAAAAAGACAGGGATGCTCTCTTGCACCACTTCTGTTTGACATAATTCTTGAAACACTTGACAGAGCAATTAGACAGGYAGAAGAAATTAAAGGGATATGGATAGGAAAAGAAGAACTGAGTTTAGCACTATTTGCTGATGATATGATTCTATACCTAGACAACCTAAAGAATTCCACCAGAAAACTTCTAGAACTAGTAAACGTTCTTAGCCCTGTTCATTGAAGGGATACATCTAATCAGGAAATAAGGTGCTAGAAGGACTTATGAGCCACATCAGTCTCTAAGGTATGACTTTTTGACATTTCAGTTGGCCAATCTGAAAATCTGTAAATGTCCATCTTAAAACCATTTCCCTCCTGTGGACTAACTCTTATAATAGTAGAAATTGATAACATGAATTTGCATAAAATGTCTCCGCTTTTAAACTTTTTGCCTTCACTAAGTCTTTTCTTGGGCTTTTCTTTCAATGGTATCTAAATATAAGTTCTGTGTTTTGAGAGTTAACTTTTCCACCTTTTTTCCCCTTAATGTATGGACCTTTGGGAGGGTGAATTTGGTCTTAAGGATTGCTTGGGATGATGGGGAAAAGTCATAGCATGAGGAATTACTCTGGAATCCTGATGTCATCTCTCAACCCCTATGACTGACAATATCTGAACTKTCTCAGTACTAGCCACTCCACACAAGATTAAGCCATGAAGTTCAATTGGCTAGGAGAAAAATTGGAGTGGAAAGGTATAAAGTTATCTCAAGTACTCCAAACACCAAATATTTCATCAAGTAGAGAAGGCTGTAGATACAGGAAGGAAACAGTGTCAGTCTGGTTCAAGAGTATGATGAAGCATGCAAAGAACTTTTTGGTCACTTAGGAAGGCTGTTTCCTGATCCACTACTTTTATTCTTTATACCATAACATGTTCTTGATTATCACACTGTAGATGTAACACACCTAGTGTATGTTGCAGGGAAATGTCATGTCAGGTGAAAATCATGGAAGAAGAAGGAAACAGAGCTGGATTACAATGACTGTTAACATTAACATAAGCTAAGGACCTCTTCCTTAAATATTTCACAGGCATTTCCCTCTTCCAGAAGCTATGTTCCTGCCCCCTCACTTGAGTTAGGATTCAGCATATAAATTTTGGGAGGACAAACAGTCCATGGTACTGTCTGTGCCCTATTCTATGTGACTTAACATTGTGGTTGTAAAATACATTCTTCAAGCTTTTCACAACTTTATGTTAAATTTTTCATTCAACTCTTGAAGTTAATTCAATTGTTGCAATTTATTCTACTCTAGACTTGCACTGTTCAGCTCAGGGAATTTATGCTGTTTTAAGTTTTCAATATGATATGTAAAGTTTTAGTTATAATTTGTGTCATTATAACTATAGTGCTTGTACTTCTGTACGGATTTTGTGTACAGGAGTCATAACTTGGTTTTGAGACACATTTTAGATCCCAGTGCAAACTTTGCAAGCAGCAAAGGAAACCAGGGAAAAGAAGCAAATATCATTAGGACCTCTTTCTTGGCCCCTTCAGACATRCCCTGGAGCTCCCACTTCAGCTTGCCTGGGATTCAGAGAGGAAGTGCGTCCCTCTGACTTCAGTGGAGCACAGCCCCAGTGCTCTGGGAACTCCTCCCAGCTGGGAGGCTGGTGGCACTTCTCAGGGACGTGCTACAGGAAGAGGCAGGGCACAGAGCCAGCAGTGAGGCCTGTGGGCTCAGAGCCAGGCTGCAYGCTGCTGTCACTCCAGGCCACCAAGGGTCCACAGGGACCAGCTATGGTCCCTGTTAAAATTGGCCTCGTCTCCTACCCTCATTCCACTGTTTCCCAAAGGATGGTGCATAACACAGTGAAAACTATTTCAGGCTCACTGAAAAGAGGGGATGTCAGACAAGGTGAAACCACTGAGCTTCTCCCTCACACCCAGGATGGTTGAAGATTCTCAAGAGAAAGAAAATTTGAGCGTTTCTGGTCCTTCTAGGTGAGTCTGAATACTGGGGCTTCAGGGGGGTGGTAGGAAAATT